GTAAGAGCTTTCTGGAGGCTTGGCTGCTTTACTTTTCTGATCCTCAGCTTTACTTTTCTGATCCTCAGCTTGAACCCTAATATCTGTCTCTGGATTTTATATTCATGTTACATAATTTATCTTAGTCATGGTGTCTATCACAGCAATAGAAAAGTAACTAAGGCATCCATTATTGATAAGGTAATCCTGAACAGAGACTAAACATTAGCACATAAATTATCTCACATTATGAACAGTTTCTTAATTCTCATTAATTTTACTTGGGTTATGTACTCTTGCAAAGAAAAATAGAAGAATTCAGCTACTAACCACAAGCAGCACTAGTTTGGAGGCATCCTCTGTGCTAAGGGTATTCCTGCTACTTGAGGTCACAATAGGCATGAATCCCCAACATTAAAACCACAGGCAATTGATAGAGTCTCTTTATAATTTTCTATACAATAAGTATAAAATACAGTAAGTTTAAGTGTTTGTATTGGTTTGAAAGAAAATGCTTTCCATACAGAATGGCATTATTAGGAGGTGTGGCTTTGTTAGAGTAAGAGTGGCCTTTTGGGAGGAAGTTTGTCACTGTGGGGTGGGCTTCAAGGTTTCTTGTGCTCAAGCTTTACCCGATATGGATACAGACAGCTTCTTCTGCCTGCAGACCAATGTAGAACTCTCAGCTCCTCTTCCAGCACCATGTCTGCCTGCATGCCACCCACCATGAAGATAATGAACTAAACCTCTGAACTGTAAGCCAGCTCCAATTAAATGTTTTCTTTATAACAGTTTTGGTCATAGTCTTTCTTCACAGCAATAGAAACCCTATCTAAGACAGTGATTGAGGACTGAGAATACAAATACAAACCAATTGTTTTATTGCCTTTCTAACAAAGGACAATATCCAACAACCAGAGTAGAGTCTCTGGAGTCCTTGCTCTTCCATAGCCCAGGAAAAATCCATCATTATGAACCACCATGTGTCCAGTGATCCATACATTCAAGAAGCTCAGCTCAGATGAAAGATGATTTGAGCGAAATACAGAAGAAAAGGTTACTCTTCAAAACTCCTAGTCAGCTATTTTATTTTCACAAAGTAAAATTGTTGCCAGTAAGGTTCAGAGTCATTTGAGCCCTTTGAGCTAAATCCTAGATGTTACATAGAACAAAAATGCCTTGCTGTATACATTACATTTTCAGAGTTTTGTACTTGTCCTTTAGTTGTGGGCTAAATTCTTAAATTTGAATAGATTTTGTTATTGCCTCTAACCATTAAAACTTACTTAAGTAGAATTATAGACAAAAACTTGATTGTGGATTTTATACCATTAATGATAATCATTTCTTGAATCAGTTAAAATTTAGGTTCAGGTAGTTTTTGAAACTTCTAACTCAGACTTTTTATGTTTTAGGTTAAATGTATACACCTTACTTTGTTACACGGTGGACTGAAATTATCATGGCCATATGAATTCCTTTTCCTATGCTCTTACTGGACTCTTTCCAATGAACAGAACTTGGAGGTCTCTCACATTTTGTCTTTATTGTCATTTTTAATCACCACACATACTTCAGTAAAATCAATAATATATAGGGTTGATGGTGATATTATACCATGTGTTACCAAGTTCTTCATAGGTTAGCAAATTCTTTACCCAATTATTACATGGTAAAGGAAATATTTAAATGAACTTGTGAATCATAAAAGTTTAAAATATGTAATATATGAGCCATTTGAGTTATTGGCTCAATTTCCTCTTAATCATCTCAGTATATATGGAAGGATGAGATATGCTATCACATTATGCTCTAGCTCTTGAACAAAGTAATAAAGTAATGTTACTCCCCAAATTATTCTACCTATGAAACTTGGGTAACTAATATTACAACCCAGCAGAGCTTCAAAAAAAAAAAAAAAAGAAAAGAAGAGAAAGAAAGAAAAAAAAAAAAAAGCAAGCAGTATGTCTACAAAGTCTACCCACCATTGTTGAGAGAAAAGTTTGGATTTTTATTATGTTAGTCTAACTTGTATTTACCATGCTGTATCTAGCTAGTAATTTTTTAAATATCTTGAATTCTATAATCATAGATGAATTTAAACTGCAATTTTTTTGTCCTACTTCTGAAGAGATTCTCAAAGGAATAAAAATTCCTTATGTTATAAAATTGGATTTGGATAGGAAGAAATGCCAGCCATATAACAATACAAAGGTGCCATGAAAATAAATAGTAATGAATAGTCAAAAACATTTGAAGTTTTTCCTTAATTTACACTCATGTTCAGCTTTCCTTTGTTTTCATTATTTCCCCTTGATTTTTCACTGAGAAACTTGTTACTTCTGATATTTTGTTCCTCATCTTTAAAGATTTACTATAACAAATGTTTACATATATACATTAAATTAAAAATATAAAAAAGAAATGTTAGTTTAAGGGTATTTGCTTATAATTATATTTACAATAAAGTTTTGAAATATAGTTCAAAGGAAGGCAAAGTTGAACTTTCAAGATGTTACTTATAAAAATAATATTATCAAGGAGAAGTACTTATAAAAATAATAAGAATTACTTATAAAAATAATATTACAAGAAGAAATGTGAGAGTTAATTCCAATATCTATTAGCAGAATCAATTATACTGAATTCTTACATTTTCTAAATTATGTCAATTATCTTCTTATGAAGCAAGCAGAGAAAGAATTTGCTTAAGTTAAATTGTTTTTATGAGAATAATCTCAGATGCCTTTATGTGTTTCCTTTTCTCTAACCTGAGCACTGACTTGATTATCTTAGCGACCTCAAACAGAACATTACAGATAGACTATTAACACAGTAAATTCACATTTCAAACAATGCCTTAAACCATGTGCTTCTATCCAAAAGTGAATTTAAATATTAGCCTGTTTCATGCTAAAAAATAATGTAAAGAATGATTTACCCCAATGGAAGGATGCTATGGTGACCACAGGTATTTGGGTGGTCTGTGCAACTTGTACATGATGCACTCTGAGTGCAGAATTGAAGCCACTCTGTTAGCTCTCATTTCATCATTATCAAGAAGCAACAGGTCCTTAAAGGTAAAATTTAATCACAGTTCTTGTTATCTTCCTGACTGATTTTAGTGATCCTCATAAAATGAAATTGTTTTCCTACCATGACTACTTTAAAACAAGACTTCAGTTTAAAAAAAAAAAAACACTTAAATCAGTTATATTGGATGCATATATGAAAATGGATATTTTATTATATATCAAAAAACCCTCCACCTGACTTTACATTGTTTGATAGACTTCTCAAATGAGAGAACATAAAAACCCCTGAAAGTGATGTAGTGAACACACTCCATTTCCAATGAATCCTAGCATATTTATTTTTATAGTAAGCAACTCAACTTGTCACAATCCAAAAGCCCAACACTGTCCAAAAGTCAAATGCTTTCTCTTAATATTAAAGTAACTTAACTAAAACCAGAGAACTCTGGGACATTCAACATTTAAAGTGCGTTAGAAGTGCCTAAAATTCATTTTAAAAGATAGTAGTTATTCAATAAATATATGTCAATACTGGAATAACTATTCAAACACTGCCAAAATTTTCAATATTTCTTTTCTCAGGTGATTGCATGATAAATGGCGATTCTCTCCTGATATTAAATGTCTGTTAGCTTGCTTCTGATTGTACTTAATATTAGTTTTAGTTTAAAGCAGGTAGCCAGGAGTTCAGCCTTTATAAGAGTAAAGAACATTCATTTAGTAAAAAATAGTGATGTTCACACTTCATTCATAAAGCAAAACTGAGTCCTGCAGGAAGAAAGAGCCTAGTCATTCTCCATGTGTATATTCATGTTGAGTATCATCTGAATTTACATTTGAACTATAATCACATTTCCTCAGTCTCTTTGTGACATTTCCCTTGTCAGTTCCTTTATTGGGAAATGGTAGAAGAGAATGATGTATCCGGGATGAGAATTAGTTCCAGCCTCCATTTGTTTTTCTAACCGTGAGAATCTGATCTAATAGGAGAAGTTAACTCACAGACCGGGAAAACAGATGATAGACTCAGAGAGACATTCTCACAAATGCCATTAAACGGCTAGACAAGGACTGTGAATCAGTCTGCAGACTCAAAATCCTGGATTTCGCAGGGTGTACTAGTGATGGGATTCAGTGGTCAGAACAACCCACTCGGAGATTCAATCAAGCTCAAGGTTCTGGACACAGCAATAAGTATTCTCAAAGGGCTCCGTTCATACCAGGTGAGGGTGACTAGTATGTCCTGTCCATTGGCTCCAGGCAAACAAGTGTGGAGATCTCTAAAGCTAATTGTTTTGAAAGAGCTCTTTGGACAACTCCCAAGGAATTCTAACAGTTTAACTCTTTCCTTACAGCTTGCATTCCTGGCTATAACACCAAGTGCACGATCCAAGTGTTCCAGAGTAAGTGAATGCAGAAACAGAATCTGATGCACATTTTACGTAATCAGTAGCAGTTCAACTTCTGCGGACTGATGCTGCCAAACAACCTCCCACACTCAGAGAGCAGGCATTTATAAATGTTACATCTTTGTACCTACTCCCTACAATTCCTTAATGGGCCATTAGTAACTAGATCGATCCTAGTTACTTTATAGCCAGGCAATGCAGAGGCACCTTGGTTGTGTTTACTAGTGCCAGAAACACCATTCAAAAGTTAAGAAGGTCGAAGCAGATACTTTGCAAACCTTCTCTTTTTTTGGGGGGGGGGGCCGAAAGATTGGTGTGTCCTTAGGAGGAAAGGAAAAAGAAGAAGAGAGAGAACCTGTGTGACTTAACTCAGATGTATATGGAAAAAGCAAATTACTACTTAAGCTGTCTGGTAGGGAATGGAGACTGATAAGTTCTCCAGAAATGCTATCCAGCTTCCCCCCACCACCACCGCTGTTCCTTAGAAAACCGAGCCCCTTCCCCACCTCTGGCAGCCAAGGCAAAATGCCAGCCCCAAAGCTAAATGCGCTTGGCTGGCTGGAAGCGCATCACTTACGTCTCGGAATTTGTTCCACTGTCCGACTTCCTTGTCATACTGAGAGATTGTGGTGAGCCATTGTTTTTCATCCAGAAAATTACCGCTGTCCGACCGCCCCCTGGCCACAGCCACCGCCGCGGCAGCTGCAAGAGTCTGGCTGCACCAAGCCGCTGCACACACACACAATAAGGCTGACACCTTGAGCATCTGGGAAGGAGACACAACCAGGGTAGAGAGCGGTGTCAGATACTGGGTGCAGATATGGGGGCGCCCCTGGAAGGCATGCATCATCAAGGACTGGTTGGAGACAAGAGAAGACCGGGTGTCCCCTTCCAGGAGGCTTCACCCCAAAGCCAGGGCACTCACACACACACACACACACACACACACACACACACACACACACACACACACACACACACACTCAGACCCAAGGGAGAAGAAGAAGGGGGTCTAAGGGTGGAAGCCCCAAGCAGCGAGAGTCCCAGCGGCCAGATAAAACGCTTGCCGGCCCATCACCTTGTTGGGAGCGGGCACGGAGCTCGCAGCTCCTGATGGAAATGCAGCCTGGCTCTGACAACTCCGCTTCTAGCTGGAGCTGCTGCACGCGCCTCCTGTCTCAGCGGTCCACTCAGCTCCCTGCGCCCAGCGCTCCCCTCGTCCCACCCTCCCTGTTCCTATCCCTCACAAGCTCCCCTCGCTTCACCCCTCCCTCCCCCACCTCCGTCTTCCCCTCCTCCTATCCCACCTTCCTCTCCCTGACTCCCAGCTGCAGCAAGTTCCGGATGCAAAAGCTTGGCTGGAGCCAGAGGATGCTGTAGGCTCCTCGCATAGGAATCCTTTGCTTCCTAACCTCTCGCCTCCAGAAGAGATACTCATGTTCCAAACACAGCCAGCTCATTCTTTCAGCTCTTAGATTGAATACAGAGCATGGGATCTCTTTCTCTTGACTGCTTCTGTTCTGCAATTTCAAGGGTGGTCGGGCACATGTAAGAAAAGAGATCAGAAGAAAACTTTAGGCATCACAGAAAGAATCCGTGGGACGTTGTCATGAACCTGAACTCAGCTTTGCTTCAACTAAAGTGAGATCATAAGGCCTTGGGCGAGCTCTTAAATGTCTGAAAATGTCTTGTGCTCTGAACTTCTGGATTATTTCAGAGCCAATCCATTGTGTAAGGTGAGGGTTTTTTTTTTTTTTTTTTCTTCCTCTTTTAAGATTTGTTGGTCAGCATGTTTGATTTTGCCAACATGCCATACTCAATGTACACACCCTTTTCTCCTTCCTAAAATCTCTACAATAACCGTTTTTGCTGTTTTGTTTGCTGTACTGTACTTGAATCCCAAATTTAAAACGCATGAACAAATAAGCTATCTATATCACCCTTGTACAAAGAGCAAGCAGCTCTGAAGACCTAACCAGGATTTTGCACTTCAACTTGCATTGATAAAAACACTTGTGGCTCCCCAGGAAGGGACAACAGAAGGATTTTTCCCAGTGCAGAAATCTATGAAGAAATTCTCTTCTGTGTACTTAGAGAAAGCAGATGAAGGGGGTATTGTATGTAAACCAAGAGATTTCTGGAAGCTAGAAGACTAAAAAGTGTTAGATATCTGTTTTTGAATTATCGGATATGTCAGCCAAACAACAGCTTCCCAAATAATGACCTTTGAAAATTTCTTGTATTTTCTAAAATTCAGGAGCTTTTCATTAGAATAGTAACAACAGCTACTTTACGTATTCTGAACACTTTTTTTTCACTTGTATCATTAGATTATAATCATATTTTAAAAGAAATGAAACTGATCGGTTTTAATATCTAACTGGAAATACAGAATTCAAGCGAGTTTATATTATTAGCATAAATGAAGAAAATTGAAAATTTGAACTTAGAAAAGAAAGCTTATTCCATTTCTGCCATTAAAAATGAAAGATGGATAAATTTTTTACGACACCTACAATTATAAGTGGCAGAAATGTTGACTGATATAAAAAGCTATGTCAAAGGACTTTGAGAATAGTCATATGTACGATTGCTTCAGAGTTTGATACTCATTTTGCGTAGTCACAAGCAAGTTTGGCATATATTGCAGTCTTTCTGAATTTTCATTTCCTATCTCATGAAGAGTTGGCAGATCCACTCCCCAATGCTGCTTTTTCCTGTCCCCCCTTTCTACTTTCAAGATTTGAAGGTGTACTTACTGTCTTCTCAATTCTACCAGAACATTCCATCATGCTTTATAATTCCTTTTTTAAAATAAGATGATGGGTAAAGCACAGATACTAAATCTCAGGTACAAGGTAAAACACAGCAGAAGTCCATTATTTGTTCATACTGAGAATGAAAGTCCATTAAGTGTGATGTTATAAATCACAGGGAACTCTTTTTCCCAGTTCTCTGTTTTACTGAGTATCTGGGTCTTCAAAGAGCCTGCTTTCAACATTTAATAGTCCTAAGTGTATTCACACTCCAGTTAAAACTTTAGTTATCAGTTAACACCTCTGTGGGGATTAATTGAAAACTTGCTAGGAGCAAAACACAGCAGGGAAGAAGAGGGGAGGGGTATCAAATGGGGTGTAGGATTCCAGGAAGACAGTTAGGAAACCTAGTTAAGGTGGGTGGGGACATAGGGGAATATTCAGGAATTGCTTCCAGTTTTATTGAGAGTCTGTCTAGAATAAGAACTAAAAATAAAACACAAACTGGAGTACTTAATGTATATTGAGGTAAGTTAAGTGTCATGGCTAGGACTTGATTTTGTATTTATGACCATACATTGCAAAATTATAACCCACAGGAAGGCAAGGCTATCAGATTCCCAGGCACCTTTCTGTCATTCTGCCACATCTTATCTCATAATTTTTAATGATAAAATAAAGCTGTTACTGGGGCCACTATGGGTTTAAGCTTTGCATAAGTTTATCTTTATCAGTTTATTCTTCTAGTAGTGAATAGTTAGTTGATTAATCTACAATTATCTTTTTTTATTGTTTTAAAAATCATTAAATCCTCATTTTTCCTGTGTTTTCTTTATTTTGTTTACAGGTTTACTACAGTTCTACATAGGTTATAGTGACTTATGTTCCGTTTCAAATGAGTTTAGGTTTGTGACAAGCCTAAATGAATACCATTTCTGTAAACACACACACACACACACACACACACACACACACACACCACGTAACACACACATGATCTTGAATAAGAGTTAATTTTTGTCAGTTACTGTTCAGAGTTTTATCCATTGCTGTGTTTAACTGTCATGAGAACATGTGGGGACGTCTCACTTACTCTCCCTCTCTATTCTTTATGTCAGGTAGAACCACACATTTCATGTACATTTCAGTCTCTGGTTTTATGATGTGGCCAGAAACCACCACTAGTATTATGGTATTGGTTATAAAGATAGTCCCAAAGCTCATGTGTGGAAGCTGTTTTCTGCAACAGATTTAGTAATGTGGAGGTAATAGAGAGTTCTGGAAATGCAACCCAGTTGTCAAAATGATTTGTTAGTGCTGTTTCCCTAGAAATCTCTTTTAGAAGTACTGTCCATTCCTTTTTCTCTCTTGGCTTCATGGTTTCTATGAATTGAGTCTTTTCCTCTGTCCCCATGTTTTCATTGCCAAGGTGGTCCACATCTAAAAATGCTAGACCTTTATGTGCTGAAACTTGAGATACCAAGAGCCAGACTAGACCTTTTTACCTTGAAGTTGATTCCTTCATGGGTGGTATTTTGTCACAGGAGCAGTCAGCTAACACAGCCAGTAAATGTAGAGCTATGATATTTAAGTGTCTATAAAAGTTTCAAAAGTGAAGAGTCAGTCTTTACTAGTTTTTATTTCTATCTGTACAGACACTTGTCTGAATCATCCAAAATTTCTGCTCTTCAATTATACTGCCAACTTGCTTTTGCTCATACTTAATACATATTTATTTCTAGATCAGTAAAACATAGGATTTGCCTGTAATTAAAGTCAAGAAAACAGTGAGTGGTTGATTCAGGGATTTTGCTAATATATGGTGAGAGTGAATATTCCCATTTTCTTTAGAACCAAGTGTTAGGATAACTCTTTCCACTGGCCTGTGCCTACTGCCATCTCAGCCCCAAATGAACACTCAGAAGCTGATGTTGGCTGATGACTAGAGTTTCTTATGAGCTAGCTCCATCTTAATTATTAACCTGTATCTACTAGTCTATATATTTCTACATGGTTTTATCTTACCTGAGAATGTCTCACTGGAGTCCTCTCTTCCAGGGAATCACATGAAGACTGCCCTCTACCTACACTTTCCAGAATCCTCCACCTCTCCTAGACCCACCTATCTTGCTGCCCTATGGACCATAGTGTTTTATTCATCAATCAATAAGAGAAATCTATTTATAGAATGGCATTTCCCATCAACCAAACCAGATGCCTAGAGGACCATCTAGCTGTTTGTTTGATAAGGGAACTGGCTAACTGTATTTCTCTCCTCTTGTGTGTGAATTTTTGCCAACCAGGATAGGGTTTATCATGCTATTCAAGTTAGCAGCTGGAAGATGAGGAGTGGTGGGTATCAAAGGACTTCTAAAGAGATCTGTGACAGAAAAATGTTAATTGGCTTCTTCTGATGCTACCATTTTGGTTGTATTTTTTTTTTTTTTTTTTTTGGTATGGCTAATTTGTGTTTGTTTATTTAATTTTTGCAGTTGTGGTATGATTTCTTTTAGCTATTCTTCATAATATTTGAAACATAATTTGATAGATACAACTTCTTTTTAGTTCAGCTAAAACATCTAATAGATAGACTCTAAAAGCTTTATGTCTGAGAAACAAATCAATCAGTTCAATTACTGTAACTCTTAAGAAAATATTTTTCAACATTTAAACTGGAGGATGAATTTGAATACATAAATTGATTACTGAGATGATGATCCTGGAAAGTGACCAATAGGTAATTTTAATTTTCTCTTTGTTTTACTTTAAACTAAGATATTTATGTGTGATTTTAAAAAGTAAAAGCCTTTCAATTTTTTTTCAATGAATCTTCATTATAAATTTGTAAATTTCAATGGGTAAAAGTTACTGATACAAAGTGATAAAAGAAAATGTTTAAAAATATAGTTTTTTTTTAAATTTTTATTGCCATTTCCTCTTCCTTTATTTTATGAAAATAGTTATTATTTAAATTGCAACAAGCATGTTTAATATGTTAATACCAGTTCTTTCACCCTCCCCTCCTTCCCTGTCCTTCTCTAAACCCCTATCCCATCATATTTCTGCTCCCCAGAGAGGGAACTGGGGTTGATATGTAAAATTAAAAAATAAATAATAATAATACTGATCCACTACCAGAGTCATCATAGACTGCCCAGTCCTCCTAACTAACACCCACATTCAGGGAGTCTGGGTCAGTCCTATGCTGGTTTTCCCAGCTGTCAGACTGGGGTCCATGAGCTCCCCCTTGTTCAAGTTAGCTATTGCTGTTGGTTTCTCCAGCCTGTCTTGACCCCCATTGTTTACCACTCCTACCTCTTTGCAACTGGATTCCAGGAGTTTGGCTCAGTGTTTACCTGTGGATGTCCGCTTCTGCTTCCATCAGCTACTGAATGTGGACTCTAGGATGGCATATAAGGTAGCCATCAATCTCATTATCAGGGAAGGGCATTTAAGGTAGTCTCTCCACTATTGCTTAGATTGTTAGTT